CCTTCTGTTTCTATGTGTGATGAACATATATAACTTACGGACGTATATGCTGTCTGCTCCTTCTGCTGGTGGGAGATGGCTGAGTCCATGTGGATCAAACCCAGGAAGTTGAGACACAGAGGAGGCGTCAGACGACAGAACAACCTGCAGATCAAAGGAGTCACATATCGTTCATGAGAAGTTCTGTTTCTGACTCTAAATAACCTGTTCAGTGGATCGTCAGCTGTTCTTTGTCTCCACCCTCAGACACACTGATTAGATCTCTTTAACTGGTATTTATATGAACGCCACTGGAAGCGGAGTCGAGATGGAAGCTAAGCTAACGCGGCTAGGACCTGAGGCTACTACCCAGCATGCTCCTGGCTGTCTGATGCCAGGTCTTTACTCTGGTGGACCAGAGGACCTGGACTCTGAGTTCACATCATGATGTTTGGTGCTCAAACACAGTTGATGGACAATGTTTAATGTGAAGATGTCGGACATGTTGCACAGAAACTGTTTATTTAAATTCTTCCTGATGATAAATCAATAAATACGCGACAGGATTAGTTCTGTTTGTTGTTTTTACTGCATTTAGTTAAAACAATAAATGACCCTTCAAAAGCTTTTCATCTCAAACATGCAGCTACTTTGTGAAGGAGGATGGAAATCCATAAAAATAAAAATAAAAATAACAATAACATGTTAGAATGAGGCTGATGACGGGCTGGCAATATGTTTGATATTATTATTAAAGGTGTATCTGACAGAAACAGGTGATGTTTCCGAATATGAAGAATAAAACGTGTTCAAAGATTTAAACCTAAAGAATCTTTGATTCCTCCAAATGTTTTCTTATTTATTATAATTTACAAATTTAGTTGTTTTAGAAGCTCAACTGTTTAGACTTTATATTTTCATTGATGTATTTATGGTGTTTTATTCTTTATCTCTATTGGTGGCCTTTATAAATACAAATATTCATAATGAAGTTATTTACTCAATGAGTATTCTTTATCAAGGATCTCTGGATGTGAGTACCTATATGTTTTTGTGTATATTTTGTTGGGTTTCTTATCATATTTATGGATCATACTGATCCCCAGTCAGTTACTGGTCCCTGTAATAAGGTCCCAGACTCCTCCCACTAAAGAAGACTTGCTGTCACTCACATGCCGCTGAACTGGAGGCTGTAGGCGTCGGTCTGGTGATGAGAGGCCAGGTAGTAGTAGTTAAACACACGGACACGGAACACAGTGGAGTACACACAGGTACACAGGAAGAAGATGGTGATGAAGCACGCCATCTGGTGGAGAGAAGAGGCGTCACACACACACACCAGTGAGATTAACTGGGATATAAAATACATACAGTATAATCTCTGCTTTCAGTCCTGTGAGTTCATGTCTTTATGTTCCTTCTTTAATCTTTAATGTTTCTGAGTAAATCTAATAAACCAGACTGAACTCACAGGTTTCATCCTCTTTGTTTACATCTCCATGCTTCTTCTGCTTAACTCGTGTTTAACGTCACATTAGGGCTGGGCGGTATACCGGTTTTAAGTTCCCGTACGATAAGAAATTTTCATACACCGTCATACCGGTGCACAGCCGAAAACAACTGGTATCGCTCCTCAACAGGCAGCAAAATATATTGTTCGCCGCTGAGAGCGTTGCGGTCGGAGCTAGTTGTCTTAGCTGTATTGAGAGGGAACCCTAGTCATGGTTATAACTTTATAACAACAATTAACAACCCACAACTAACGCTCTTTAACAACAAAACACCACGACACAACAGTTTGTGACACATAAACAATTTGTAGCTCTAATAATTGTACATTTATAAAATGTCTCCGCCGAACTGCATGCTGGGTAAAGCTCGCTAACAGCTGGGAGAGGCTCTGTCGCTCCAGTAACGTTACATTAAAGAACAGAACAGAGCGATGCAGGATGAACACAGACTGAAGAACAAAAGGTATTGTGGTCAGACACATATGCAACGCTGATTACCGTAATATGTGTGGTATTTGTTATAAATGTACGTTGGCAGTAGACAGTGATAAGAAGCTGTACATGGAGGGACTTCTTCTTCTTCTTTAAATTCCATTGGCGGATCGCAACCAACTTGCATAGGTGCATACCGCCACCTAGTGTACCGGAGTGTGCATTTTCAGGGTAACGTTTTCTTCACTGTTCTGATAATAAAATAAATAAATAAATAAATATATAAATAAAGAGATAAACCTAAACAACACCTACTAACAACTAAAGCCTACGGTCTAATCCCGTTTCTTTCCATGGAGGGGCTTAGGACCCAGGGGAATGTAGGTGAAGGAAACAGGAAGTGACGGAACGGAAGACAAGCCACACAAACAGCTGTTCACCACTCGCTGGCCGGCCGTTTCTTTTCGGCGTTAATTAATTAATGCTTTAACGTGAAAAAAAATACCGTGATATACTGTGAAACCACCAGAGTCTTACAAAATACCGTGATATGCATTTATGGTCATACCGCCCAGCCCTACGTCACATTGCTATGAATTGTGGGTAATTCCCTCAAGTAAAGTCTGCATCTAATGCTGACTTATGGGGAGAGTTCATAAAGGACTCAAAACGTCTGAGAGACCTAAACTCTGGAAGATTTAACAGAAGGACAGAACTAAACCCTCATGAGTGTGACTGGGATCGGACCAGTGAGTCCAGAGATGAAGAGTGATGAAGAGGCCTCTCTATGTACAGGTAGTTGTAGTCTCACCTCTATGTACAGCTAGTTGTAGTCCCACCTCTATGTACAGCTAGTTGTAGTCCCACCTCTATGTACAGGTAGTTGTAGTCCCACCTCTATGTACAGGTAGTTGTAGTC